ATGCGACGCCTCATGAGAGAATGTTTGTTTACAATAGGAGCTTAACCATTGGAACTACTCTCCCGATATCACTTAGCTCTCCTGGCCGAGAGCAGTCAACAGTCTAAATTTGATCCGCTCGTTGAGGAGGTCAATCCACTCCAGTATAGCTCCCAGAAAGTTCATATAAGATTCAATTATGGCAGAGGAGAAACCATATCCGTTCCACCACCCGCCACCAGAGGTGAGAGAGATATTGGTGATTGCCATCGGAAGACGGCCACGCCCGTACTTGAAAATTCCATCCTATTTTCCCCTGACCACCCACCCGTTACTGAGCAGTAAAGTGGCACCAATTCAACTGGCGAACAGAATGACGCAAAACCTGTTAGTGCACCTAACGCGGATGATGTCCATCTGCATAGCCTAGAAACATTGATCCAAAAATAACAACGCGTTCATCTATACTGCCTTCATAATAGAGACGCCTGAACTTTGCCATATGCAAACCTTTCCTTCCGATTTTTTTCGATCATTGTATTTGTTGGCCGGGGTGAATGGCATGCATACATAAGTCCCCGGATAAATTCCATCGTGAATAAAGGTGAAATTTCGAGTTCCGGGTGTATTCCTAAGTAAAGAGGAAGAGGTTTCGAGCGCCGGCACATTTTGTTTATTGTCCTGACCTTTCGGACTCGTGCGGGGTCCATCGTCAGAGATAGTGGCAGCAACAGAACAAGCGACAGTTTTAAGGCATGTAGGCCAACCATCGACCGACGGCGCAAGACTGGAGGTGACTACGCAGGGCTCTATACGCCGGCGCCAGATCAATAAAACTATTGACCGAGTTCTCGCCCGAGGCCCAGACTTCAATCAATTCCCGGCCTGTCTTGTTTCCGGCGTGGGCGACTGTTTTGGTGGCTGCGAAGTTAAACTCATGACCCACCTCGTAGGTGTGGGCGGCCACTTGTGGTAATGCGTCGCCTCGTCGCACAGTCAGCTTATGTTCGTATATGCGCGATCGGAGCATGCGTCCAGTCTGGTCTGTGTAGTTACAAGGACGGTATAGACACGGGGTGCGCTACACCACTTCGGCTAATCATTGTCCTAAAAGGCAGCCCCGCCTACAATTAGGCAAAGTGGATGCACTCAAAACTGACGTTCCTCCAAGGCAATTCAACTACCTTAGTTCGATCAGCCTCCCAATTCCTCATAGACCTCCGAGGTCGGAGGATTCAATCGGACAAAAGCATGGTCTCCTTCGATGTGACGTCGTTATTCACATCCATCCCACCAAACTTGGCCCGCGAAGTCTTGCGCAAGAGACTCTAAGAGGCGTACGAGACTCGGAATGCACTCAAAATCGAACAACTCATGGGGCTGTTTGAATTCTGCCAACAAACTTTCTTCACTTTCGCTGAACAGACCTATGAACAAATCAAGAGAACCGCAATGGGCTCACCGGTCTCTGGTTTGGAGGCAGAACTGGTCCTACAGGAGTTAGAAAAGATTGCCTTCATCCAGCATGAGCCGGTATTTTGGCGCCGTTACGTAGACACGTTTGTCATCGTAAAGAAGCACATACTACAACATTTCCACGGCCTGCTCAATGCAATCTTCCCCGGCATTAAATTCACGAGGGAAGAAGAACAGGAACAGCAGCTGCCCTTCTTGGATGTGCCTGTCAAACGAAACCCTAACGGTGAACTTGAAATAACAGTTTATAGGAAGGCAACGAACATCACACAGCTCCTCAGTTTTCACAACAACCATCCGATGGCTCACAAACGAAGCTGTGAAGACGATCTTTAAACGGATCCGAATTCACTGCAGCAAACCGGAGGACAGATCACGTGAGACCCGCTATCTCCACGACCAGTTTGTGCAAATGGCTATCCGAGGACATTCATAAGTCGCTGCCCACGCGGCCGCCCCCAGAGGACTCAAACAACAACGCCACCGACAATATGACATTCTCTGCCATACACCAAGGGCGTTTCAGAAGCGACTGAGCGCATTGCTGCGGAGCAAGGTGGTGGAATTGCACACCGTCCCAAAGCTACCATGCACAGTAGAGTCGTGGAAATAAAAGACCGGTTAAATCCTGAAGAGCAATTGGGAGTGATGTACCGCATCCCGTATCTATACTGTCCTTGTAACTGCACCAAAACAGTCGCCCACGCCGGAAACAAGACAGGCCGGGAATTGATTGAAGTCTGGGCCTCGGGCGAGAACTCGGTCAATAGTTTTATCGATCTGGCGCCGGCGTATAGAGCCCTGCGTAGTCACCTCCAGTCTTGCGCCGTCGGTCGATGGTTGGCCTACATGCCTTAAAACTGTCGCTTGTTCTGTTGCTGCCACTATCTCTGACGATGGACCCCGCACGAGTCCGAAAGGTCAGGACAATAAACAAAATGTGCCGGCGCTCGAAACCTCTTCCTCTTTACTTAGGAATTCCACAATACCTGCTACTTTTTGTATTTCTCGTTTTAGTTTTAGTGCGTCAATTTTAAGATGAGTAAGGCCCTATTATAGGGTATTCTCGTTCTGATTCTTTCATCGTGATTTTTTCGTGCTTTCTCGTGTGCATGCCGCGGTCCTAGCTACGACACACGGCTTTTAGCGCAGCGTGATATTATCAAGCACGTTAGATTATTTATAGAGAGGAATGTGCGCTAAAGTCGGACCACTTTCTCTCCCCGTCACCGTGTTCTATTCGATTGTCCGGGGCGATCAACCAACTGATTCTGACATTCGGGAAGATTTAACTTAGCCAACAAGGGCAGACAGTACTATACAATCTTAGGAAGTCTTCGGGACGTAGACGCGCTGTGAAAGCGGACAGACTTCTGGAAAATGCTGTTCAAACTTCCGCTAATAACACCATACTACTAAGGAGACCGGTGTTCAATTGTTAAGAAGAGCTAGCACAACTTACATGTTTGCCGGCTTAAGAAGCGGCTCCCACATCTAGAGGCGTTATATAGGCCAAATGACTCATACAGGGGACATGCTTCACGGACACAGAGCGACCAATCGGAACATTGACTTCCGATGTACGTAGTGCAAAGTCTTTATCTGGGTCAGGGGGTCGAACACAGTGAAGTCGAAGTGCCCAAGCCAACACGATGATTTGTAACAGTCCAGTGGCTAGAAGTGGCGTATGCGAAGGAGGACTTATGAAAGCTTGCCTAGGGTTACGCAATTATCTGTACACGCGGCCAACCTGGACAACAGCATAAAACCATAAGTATAGTTAAAGATCCATTGGATGTCGACGAAGCAACAAAAGCATTCTCAAGGGGAGACAAGTGAAAAGCGTCAAG